AATGGAATCATAGGTCATGAGAGACAATAATGTGTTACTAAGGATTCACAATTATTGTGGTGGTTCTTAACTGTTTCTGAATGTTCTAAATTTCAGGAAGTAAATGATTCGTTCTTTTGATTTTTCACACTGTTGATCCAACATTTTTCACCTACTAAAGTAGGCATAGTGCTGTTTAAAAAGAAAAACTAACAATCCAACATAGGCATAGACTAATCCTTCGCTTAACATGCACGAAAATTGTATTAACAGGGAAATGTTAAGATAAAGCTGCAGAAAAAAGAAAGTTAATCCTGATTTAATTAACAAAAAAAAAAAAAAGTAAAGAAGAACAGGTTTATGAAATTTTTCGGCAACCAAATTGTCTGAGATTGATAAGGAGGCACATTCCAAAAGGCGTGAGTGCAACTAATAAACATCCCCCTAGGTTCTTATTTAAATTTCAGTTTCATTGTTATGTGAAATTTATACAAATAAACGAATCATAATAATTTTCCAAATCACCACACCTCTAGTGTCAAATTATACTTGTGTTTCTGTTTTAATTTTTTTTCTAAAAAATTATTTCCTTATATCACAAACACATTTTTCAACACACATTTTGATCTTCTTAATCTTTTTTTTTTATCTCATATACATTACATCACATTATAAAAAAGTACTGCAGTAATTATTCCAACTAATATTTCAAATAATCTCTTGTCGAACAACAAATGTAAACAATGACGGTATAAGAAGGTTAACTTATATACCCAAATTATAATTTGTCGTTCACTAACCAAAAAACAATTAGAACCAAATTATAACACTGCTTAACAATTTCTTTTCTTGCTGGTTCGCATTTAAATTTTCCTGCTGCTTTGTTTGGATATCAAATTTTTTCAAATAATATTTCGCTTACATCATCAACACATTTTTTAATCTCACCTTTTATATTTCCAATCACCTTTTTATCTCGCATACATCATATCACATCACAAAAAAGTGTTACAGTAATTATTTCAAATAATACTCTATCCAAACAAAACTGCCTACAATAACAAATTGTTAATCATGTATAGATGCCACCATACTCATATCTACATTATCTGTCTTTTTTTTTTTTTTTCCAGAATCCAGCCAACAAAAAAAATAAAAATAGTGGTGCTCCAATAGCAACATTTCTGATCACTAGTCTGAATCAGTTAGCATAACTGGCAACTAAAATAAACGGTGCATATCTTGTTCAGCTCCACCTCCAGCTAACCTGCTCCTGAATAAGCTTGCCAAACTAGTGAACAATCAATCACCTAACCTTGGCCCAGGTACCATTTCTATTTTCTACACTAGGCCGGTGGTTTCTTAGAAGACACCATTAAAAAAAAAAAATTTTGGAAGACAAAATAATATTCCAATCAAATGGTATCACTTACTGTATCAAAACATCATTAGGTATCAATACAATAATCTTCAATCACTTTTTTTTCTTAATAATTGCTTCAAGATGAAAGCGTTACCACGTCTGTTTAAAAGTCTCTGGGAGAATGGAGTTTTAAATCATCAGAAAGATGCTCAACAACATTTTTACGTAAAATTAACTGCATGAATTTCACTCTTAATTTCTTGCCTTAGAAGGTAAAGAAAATAGAGAGAAGACAAAGAGTGTCAAACATGGACATGCAAATAAATATGTTGGATGATCAGTGCGAGTCTTAGAGAGCACACAGAGATAAAAAGTTAATAATGTTCTTGGCAGTTTCTTGGGTGACCGAATGGTAATTGAATCTTAATCCCTGAACAAGGCGGAAACGACAATAATGTTTAGTACGGCTATATTCCCCAAACCAAAGGAAAAACGTACAATATAATAAGACAAACCGAAGTATGACTTTCATGGGTGTAAGTTTAAACAAAGGATGTACCCAAATGAAAAAAAAAAAAATCTAAGTCCCTAATGGCAAGGAGGGACTTAAGTCCCTCCTTGTGCTGTTGATGAGGGTTCAAAATCTCACCAGCAGCGAAAAAAAATCTAAGAATTGTGCCATAGCACTCCCTTGATCTAGTTGGATTTGTATACCCGCTAGCCCCTACAACAACCTTCTTAGGCTCCCTCTCTCCCTAGATTAGGATAGAATATATTATACAAATGTATCGTTGCTGACCAAAAAAAAAATGAAAAAAAAAGAGAGAGTAAAAAGAAAAGAATTGTTGTGGGTGGGAAAAAAAAAAAAGAATCAGTGTATTATTCTTAGTATTTTGTCATTGGATGTACTGCTAATATTACAAAATCTACCCAAATTGTTTGATATTCACACTAGAATGAAATTTCACTTATTACCAACTCAATCTCTAGGATCATGTCCAATCAGAGTCAGCTTCCATTCCAGAGGGCAAAAAGCCTGGTCTGCAAGAAAGTCGTTTTAGAAAGAAGCCCAAAAGAGAACGTCAGCAACAGTTTATTTATGCATAAGAATTACTCTTTCAACTATGAAATGCATTATTATGTTCAGAAAAAAAAAAAAAGAGAAAAACCAATTGGTTTTTTAACGAACAGCTATATGGCAAGATTTGCCAAGAACTGGATCATACTACGAATTGCCCTTTACATATTTTTTGGGGTTTCTTTTGCTAAAACCTAGAATGACTTGCAGAAAAGCTATAACGTATGCTTGTGGGGAATATATTAGTTAAATTTGTTGCAACCATTTCTCTACTTTCTGACTTGGCTTAAATATAGAACTGCCACCTGCCTCGTTTTTTATTTTCTTCCATAATGCTTTTTATATACGAACGGTTTCAACCGATACTCTACGTCTCTACACCTCATTTGCTGCTAAAAAGAAAAACCTTTTAATATATCCAGTTGAATTAATTAAAAAAAAAAAACTGCAAAGTATAACAACATCAGTCAATATTCTTTTTTTTTAATAGGGCCAGAAAACACCGATTTAAATGAGTACTCAGATGCTATTTAATTTTATTTTTACTGACTACAATATTTCTATATTTTCTCTCACTATATAGTATATACTAATACGTGTCTGTGTCTTCGACTGACCAAATATATATATATATATATATATATATATATATATATATATTTTTTGGTAGTGATTCCTGAGAAGCCTATCAATTTTTAGTTTCAATAATGGTCCTACTTAAAAAATATCTTATCCATTGATGCAACTCACAAGTTTTGTCGATCCATCTTTAGGTTTGTTATCTTTTTGCAAGTAAAAAATGATTCAATCTTTTTCAGTTTTGGTTGATCCAAATTTAAAATAGTGGACATATAAATTGCGTCACCATCAAAATACGACATACGACCATAGGCAATGTATAGTTCCCACCAATCAAACTATGCTGCTCCAACAGAATCTCAAGTCTAAGGAAAAGATTAATGATTGCTTTTTCCAACTTTTTTTTTTTTTTATTTTAAAGCTGCTTATTCCAACTTGGGTTGTACCAGACCATCAAACACTAGGTTGAGGTACTATGCAGTTTTCCTCTTATGCTCAAGTAAATCAAGAGCCAATCTAAGTCTTTTTTTTTTTTTTTTTTTTTTTTAACCCTTCCCTCCCTGCACCTTTCCCACCTCCAACTGTCAGGATCAAGATTCAAACCTGATGACAGAGAGAGCTTTAAGAGCTCTTCCCTAATTACTAAACTAACTTTTTTTTTTACTCCCATCCCCTCTTGCGACTTTCTCACCCCTAATTATTAAACTAACATTTTTTTTTCTTCCATCCCCTCCTGCACCTTTCTCACTCCCAATTGTCAGGATCAAAATTCGAACTTGATAGCAGGGAGAATTTTAAGAGCTCTTCCCCAATCACTAGACTAATCTAGTAGTTGCCATTCTAAGATAAACATAGAGGGTTTAGGGAGAGAGGACTTGATACAAAACCGCGTGGTTTCAGAACCTTTGCACTGCATTTTCCAAGTGATGGGCCTTTAGCCCTCATATTTGAAGCCTGCTCCTTGAAAGTCTTGAACAAATTAGAAAGGTCCAATTTTTTGGTTTTATGTTCCAGAATTTAAGTGACTCTGGATCGGGCCTCTTTGTGGGTTTTAAATTAACCTTTCATCTGTTCATATTTAACAGGCTCACTTTTTGGTGACCAAAATTGATTCTTAATCTTCTTGCTGATGATCTTTCCTCATCACAACTCCAAAAGTTTTATTCATTTCAATTGCGGTTTGATTACACTTAATTACTTATCTTGTAAGACTGATTATAAAATGAAATGACACCAAATTTAGAACAAGAAGAAGCTGAAGATAAGAATATTGAATTAAAATCAGAATTCATTTTATCAAAATTTAAGCATCTGATATTTCTATTTATACAAGGCAACTTTCTGATCACATGGTGAATAATAGTGCCCGTGAAAAAAATGCTCGAAAAGATGAACAAGTTTAATAAGCTAACATTATAATTTTTGCACCTATGAGTGACAACAATTGCAACTTTCTACTGGAGAATGCACACACTATGTTGGAATTAGTTAATTATCAATAAATGGATACTCAAAAAAGCAATAAATGGATTTTTAACTTAATGATAGTTGTGTTCCTTTGTAATTGACAGTGCATTTTTAAAGGCCTGCCGTATTCGAAGTGGACTACATGGCCTCCTCTCTGACATTTTCCTAAAGAAAAAAGGGGAAGACTTTGAGATCTTTCTGTCGCCAAAACACTGCCTGAGATACCGAAGTTGAGAATTCAAACCAGAAACGCAAAAAAGAAAGAAAGCATGACAAGTTTAAAACTTTCTGCCACGGGCAGTTGTCAGATCAGAAAACCCGTTTCGAGAAAATTGCTATAAATTGGGGTGTTAAGAAGCATAAAAGATCATGAATTCGTTCTGACCAGGCCGTGAATATTTGAAGGATGACGTTTATAATGTGCTGGCTGAGTCTTGAACATGCAAGAACCAGCCCAACAGAGTAACGTAAAAGGTATCAGCATTTCCTTGCGCAATAACAGGAAGAAGAAGTGTGGATAAAGGCAGCATATAAATCACGACAGCATTCCTTTTAACTAAAGAAGACTTTCAAGTTGGAATCAAGCAACAAAATCCTCAGCCGTACCCGACGCACTTTCTAAACGTTTCTTCTTGTGCAAATAAGAGAAAGTCTAGCATGCCTGATACAATTTATAGAGAGAGAAGTGGGGGGGGGGGGGCGAAGAGAGCAAAACTTTTACACCACACTCGGACTAATTTCTGAAGACCAGACCAAAATTCTAAAATATCAATTCCTTGGCGGCTATGGAAGCTTATGCTTGTAACTGAAGCCACTTTTATATACCGTATATTCGTAACTCTAATTCCAAACTTGAAAGCAGAACTCTAATTCCAGAATTTTGGTGAAGCTGTTAATGTTTACTTGTTCTTGCAAGGCATCTTTCGCTACATTTACTCCCTTTTCTTCCACTCAATTGCATCTTTCTATCACTTATAAATGCATCAACCTAAACCAAAACCTGCTATGGATGCCAGACTAGCATCAACGGAGGAGTAAGTAAAGATTCTAAATAATGGTTGAGATTAAGGTGGAAAATGAGTCATCTAGGGATCTCGCTGAAGAAAGGGCTCCCCTCCTGGTTCCAGAAGTAGAAAAGACCCTTGTACAGAAAGCTATAAGTCAAACATTTCAAAGTACAGCCCATCTGGCAAATCTTTTACCAACTGGATCCGTTCTTGCTTTTCAGCTCCTATCACCCATCTTCACAAACCAAGGAGAATGTGATGCAGTAAGCCGATCCATGACCGCTGTCCTCATAGCTCTCTGTGGGCTGTCATGTTTTCTTTTCAGCTTTACAGATAGCTTCAAGGACCAAAAGGGAAACTTATGCTACGGCTTTGCCACGCTTCACGGCTTGTGGGTTATTGATGGTTCAGCAACCATACCACCAGAACTTGCAGCTACCTACAGGCTCAAATTCATAGATTTCATGCATGCCTTTATGTCGATATTGGTTTTTGCAGCTGTTGCATTATTTAATCAAAATGTTGTCAACTGCTTCTATCCAATGCCCTCAGATGAAGCCAAAGAACTCCTCACAGCCATGCCAGTTGGAATTGGAGTTATTTGCAGTATGTTATTTGTTGTGTTTCCCACCAAGCGCCATGGAATTGGCTTCCCCCTCACTGCAAATTAATAGATAGTTTGTTTCGAGTGGTGGAAATATAAATTATTTGTGTTGAAGGTCTAGAAGTTTGCTTTCTTAATGTATATGTTTCTTCCTTCTGTTTCCCATCGTAAAGCAGAGCAATCCACTTCAAAGATCATCCAAATAGCAAGAAGATGTTAGCAGTACATATCCCTGAAGACTAGATGTGCAAACACAATCTTGTGATTACACTAAAAGAAGCTCGATGTAAATAAAAAACGCAATATAGAAGTAACTCAACACCACAGAAGACACAATGCTAAGAAAGAGAAACCAACTCAACTGCTAGGAAGACCATCATTTATTTATTAGACATACACGCCAGGATTACTCATTCCAGTCTTTTAACAGTTTTTGAGCCTACAGCAGACAGTATTTCTAGCTGGTGTCCTAAGCATCAATCTTAATTCCATTTTGTCCCATCATAGTCGCAAGAAACTCAGGACTGCTGCAACATATAGACATCTGTAATTCAAATTATAAATTTCATACGCCCCAAGTAAATGTTCATTAAGTAGCTACAATACATGTTTCACTTCTGATACAACTATTATGCAAAAACTTGCTTAACAAAAAGAACATCTTTCTTCCTTAATTATTATACAAAGGGTGCCATGGTTACTTGATCGTGATTAAGCATGACCAAAGAAACAGGGCATCTGCCTTGTAGTTAACTTGTAATCAACTGTAGAAAACTAATATTTGCACCTAGCAATATTACCTTGTCTCCCTGAGTAATGCCAGTAAAAAGATGAAGCACATTTGATAATGGGAATGCTATGTCATGGCATTGCAGGGAACCACTCATAGCCCAGTTCCAAGGATGTAGCTTTCTCAAATTCCAAAGTATCAAATTCCAAGCATGCACATTTTCTTCTTCTCACTAATAACAAATGCAAATGAAAAACGTGAGCACATAAAACAGGGAAAGCCACTAAAATGAAGGCGACTTACAACCCAGGGATGCATTCTCTTTTTCTTTCTTCCCCATTTTGCTTGATATTCTGAGCACCAGAGTCAATTTACAAATGTAAAAGTTTTTGCCAATTGAAAGTCTGTCCTCTTTAAGTTTCACCCAGTTTCATTCATATCCTCAACTCAGCAGATAAGACACATGATTTGTGGTTCAGAATTCCATATTCAAGTTTAATAATGGACACTAGAAGAACAAAAGGAGGAAAAGGCAAATCAATGAGATATTCAGGGCTACCAAGTATGAGTTCAACCATGTTCTACAAGCCTATGAAGCATGGAGGGTTAAGATATAACTGATGTGTGCAATTTCACTAAATATTTGCTTTCAGAGGTAGTGTAGTGCCAAGAACATCATTCCTTTATTTTGAAGCAGATTTAAATGTTGGAAGAAGGACATATATAGTCATTACCTGGCATGAAAAGAACTAGATATCACATGCCTGCCACTATAAGTTTCCCAGTATCTGTGTCTGTACCAACTTAGCAGCTTCATGAACCTTTTTTTTGTCCCAAAACCCAGTTAATATAGCGCTCCAAGTTGCTTCCTCAGGTATGCATCCATCAACCACCATCTCATCAAGAACTCGAGAAGCTTTCTTTAGGTCCTTTTTCATGCAAAAAGAATCAACAAGAGACCCAAAGGTTTTTGCCTCAACCGAAATTCCTCTAGAGCGCATGCTTAGATACATTTGAAAAGCTCGATTTAAATCAATCTTGCAAAGGCCCAGGACAACTGTGTTATGAATTTTGGTATGAAGGCTCCAAGTTACTCTATTAGGAGAGATTCCACCAAGAACCATTTCATCAAGAAAGTTTGCCGCGTCCAGGAACTTGCTGATATCACAAAAACCATTAATAATTTTCCAATACAAACCCGCATCAGGTTTCAACCCCTGAAGTTTCATCCGATCAAAAATCTCCAAAGCTTCACCAAGTTTACCTTCCTTACAGAGACCATGTATTAAGGTACTGTAAATTACCATGTTAGGTGCCTGGCGTTTGCTAATCATCATCTCAAGGAGCTTCATGGCATCTGAAGACTGTCCAGATTTACAATGACCATCCATGAGAGCACCGTAAGTGAACAAATTAGGCTCAATTCCTTTACTCTTCATCTCCACAAGCAATGACATGGCTTCATCCATCTTCTTTGACTGGCATAGGCCTCGAATTAAACAACTATAAGTGACAACATTTGGTGAACAGCCACTTGCATTCATCTCGTCAAAAAGTTCTTTTGCTTCACTGATCTTCCCCAGCTGACAAAACCCATTGATCAGAGTACCATATGTGTATGAATCTGGAGTGAATCCACGCTTGGGCATCTCAAGGAAAATGTTAAGTGCAGAGTCAATTGTTCCAATGTTCTTGCAAAGGGCTTTAATCAGGATATTTAGTGAAGCAACAGTAGGAGGAATACTCATTTTCCTCATATACTTATAAAATCTTAAAGCTGTCTTTAACTGGTTCTCATCAACAAGAATGGAGAACACTGTAAAATAAGACTTTTCAGTTGGCTCACAATCATACTCCTTCATCATTTCAAAAATCCTTATAACCTCAAGAGGCTTGTGCACCCGACCATAAGCTCGAAATAGGCTGAGGAAGAGATCTTCACTAATCTTGCACTTTTCATTCTTCATTCTACCAAGCATTTCTTCTGCTGACTTGAAGTGGTTAGAAGAGAGTAATCTAGAAATCATGATGCCAAAAGTACTATTGTCATGCTTAAATCCATGACTGTACTCAGCAGTTGCTGCATCAAATATCATTATTGCTTTCTGTAAATCCTTTTCTGCTAGAATCAGCTGCTCAACAAAGGATGCTGTTATTTGCTTTGGCCATTTCATCATTAACTTGGTACCCATAACTGCAATCTATACTTTTGGACACTTGCCTTATGTCTCTAACATATCTCTTTTCTGATAAGCCTGAAGTCCACCATTTTGGCAGAGACTGCCTTGCAATAAGATGATTTTGTCAATAGAAAGAAAATTACGCTCATTCATGACTCAACAGCTGATGGTCCTAACAAAAAAAATATTATTTGTTAACCAATGTAGTCAATGGACTTGACTAAAGAGCTTCCTATTTCAAATTGACATCATCACCAATGATTCCGTATGAGCTGAATATAATTAAGTTATCGAATTATTTATGTAATGAATGGGATAAATAAAGGGCTTCTTTAGCAATTCCATAAAACGAATACTAACTCAAATATCTTAAACCAGCTCACTCAAAATCTGTACAGCACTTCTCTAATTCCAATTCACTTTCATCCACTTGAAAATTTTAAATTCACTATCATCTAATCACAAGTAATTCGACCATATACTTACTACCGTATTTTTCAAAGGGAAGAGAAGAAAGTGCATCCTAGATTTCATCAAGAGAAAGACAAATACTATAAGTTTTTTAGCCTGTATATTCTTCTCCTCAGGCGCATTACTTTATCAGCAATAACTTGGTCACTTACAATCCAATTTTTTCAAGCCCACATGAAAATTCACCCCTATACAAAACTTGAAAATCCATAGAAGAAGCCATTTGAAAGATACTAGAGGAGATCAAAAATTAATTGTAGAAATACTACCACTAGTCATAGATTTTCTACGGACAGCTATCTCGGGCATTTTGTCGAACAAATGGAAGGCAGATCATTGTTGTGTAACGCGCGCACAATTATTCCATTGTCAGCTTTGTTTATAAAAAAACAAAAAAAAAAAATTGAAAGTTGGAAGCAGACCTGCTTTTAAACGAACGGCTGGCGGTAACGGATTCTTTAGGGGGTAGAAAGCCGACGGTTTTACTACTTCAGAAGAATGTTGGATTTACTATTTATAGAGAAGAACAAGGCAAAGGTTGAGGACGGCGTCGTCGAGCCTGTCAATTTTCGCTTACGGGACTTCGAATGCTGCACGACGGCGTTTCGTCACATTTCTATTTAAAAAAAAAAACTCAATTTTACCTTAATTATTACAAAAGTTTCTAGTTTTTTTTTTATTTATTATTGTCAAGCGTTTTGGGCTCGACCCTTTTTTTAATTTTTGTAATATTTGAATCCCCAACCTACAATTCAAGAGGTATTTTAAGTCCTTTTTGGTGGTTGATTTGCTTAAGACGAGTTGATTAAGCATTTTTTGCGCTTAATGCCTAACATATTAGGCAATTTTGATGACAATGTTGAATGTTGGGGCATTTCATCTTCGCTGTAGCACGTAGCAAGAGAATTTTGTTATGGATCGCGATCCGCCTCCACTAGATCGTCTCTTGCAACAAAGAAAACTACCAACTGCCCAAAACCCAAGCCTCTTCTCTTCTCTCTGTGTATGCCAATTACACTACTATTTTTAACTTTAAAATGGTAATCCTTTTTCATAGAGTTGCACCCTGATATGAGTTCAACTATAGGTATTCTTCAATTTTTATCTTTTTGGTTTTTTGAAGTAACTTACATGTGAACTCAAAATTTCTGAACAAAGCAATTTGATTTTGCAAATTTTTGTTCAATTCCATAATTTTCTCAAACATTGTTGAAAATAAGAATAAGTTCATATGAAAAGGCAATAGGTTTTCTGTTACATTTAAACACACTTTTAATTAAACTATAACACTTTTAATTAAGTAATCCAAACAACAACTGATGAATCTTCTCCAATGGAGAACATAAGATTGAATCACTCCAATGGGGAACTTAATAGTCAGTTAGTCAAAAATAAAAACAAGTAAGAGTTTCTTCTCCTTTTTCTTTCTTCTCTTCTCCCGAATTGGCTAATCTTTCTAAAGTTTCTTATTTTGTTCTTCTTCTAAAATACTTTCAGTTAATTTAAAGAAAGTGGCCCAGTCACTTTTACTCGTGGCCATATGGAAAGATGCGTCTAGCAAATTTTCATGGCTGAACGGGGGCTTGAAATTTTTTTTACGACATTGCTTCTGCAGTGGTGCACCATGGGAGAAGGTTCTAAGGTCGTTAGATTCAGTAGCTCCATCATCCAATGGCTGAAGACTTTCCCCTTTTTCCAGCTTAATTGTAATTTATCAATTAACTTTTCCCCATATTTTCAATTTGTATTTCCAAGGAAACAAAAGTTGGCTCGCGCGGGCTCGCGCGCATACATATATATATATATATACATATACATATATATATATATATACATACACACACATATATCTTTGCTGCAGTATGGTAGCATGCTCTTATCTGCAATATTAGCAGATAATAAATGTTACTCTCCCCAGGATGCACTTTATGTGATAACAATTATTAAAACCTTAGTCCACCTCAAAAAAAAAAAAAAAAAGAAAAGTAAAATCTTTCAGATGCATATGTACTTCATCCGATCTTTATGCAGTAAAATCGGAATCACTTGAGATCCTCGGTGACATATTTTCTATGCCAACCCAATGCCACCAATAATGTTGTACCAAGTGTCATGTTATTATTTACATTTTAATTTTCTAATAATTTAATTTGGCTTGATTTAACACAAGGGTAAATAATAACATGACACTTGGCACAATACTATTGGTGACATTGGATTGGCATAGAAAACATGTCACCGAGGATCTCAAGTTAATCGGAATGCACCGCATATATAGCTCGATCAGATATTGACAGGTTAAGACAATAAGCATGTGGTCTATAATATAGGAAATCACGTCAAGAAAAATCTAAGAGAGGCTCACAAAATCTTATCCAGTAAATGCTGAACGAGAGAAATCTGACAAGATACCAAATTCATGGACCAGATCAATGTAGATGCAAGCCTGTATTCGGAGGAAATACATGACATAAAAAAAAGACAAGGACTTTTTCCTAACCATTTAGATCTAAACAAGAAAATAGATATAGTTCTTTGCGCTAAAAAAAAAAAAACAGAAACTCTTGTAAAATCAGTTTTCTTATCCTCACATATCAAACTCTTGTGAAATAAGTATTTCAAATTTATAATCACTGGAGTTGGACCAACGATCAAATGAGATTTTTAAAGTCCTTCTCGCTGTCAGATTCACATTTCGAATCTGTGTCTAACAATTAGATTGATAATGGCGCGCAGAAAATTTTTTTTAAAAAAAATCAGGTCTGTAGTCCTAATGGTGAATTTTCATGAACTAGTTCGTGAAGTAGCCATTTCCTTTTGTTAACAAAGTCTAGTCTGAACAATTTCATCATCCCAGCTAATGGTGACCGGCGAGCGTTGTGGGGCATCACAATTCCAATTCCAAGGGGAAAATTTGAGGAGGTGTTGATAAGGGTGCTGAAAATGGGAGCTAAAAAAGGATTGGACAGGACGAGGCCTCCCATACAAACCTCTCGCTCTTGGTTGAGGATAAGATAAGGTCCCTCCACAATCCAAAACCAGCTCCTCAACCCAATCTCCGACTCTCTCTCTCTTTTTTTTTTTTTTTTTCCGAACATGCTAGAATTTATTTTAGACCCATTCCTACTCTATACTAGGAGAGGAGGGACCTGAAAAAGTTCAAAAAAAAATTGAAAAAAATTGAACCACCACTGATCCAAACAGATGTATTCAAAAAGAACTTGAAGGGAATTAGACCTATCAATCAGCCCATATGAGTCGGCCTTTCGTAAGTTCATACTTAACTCATTTAATTTGTAACACTTTCGGATTTCAAGCCATCAGATTCAGGTTAATAAATGTAATAATCATACTTAACACACAAAATATTCGGATTTTGAACCTTATTCGGGTTTAGCCCAAATTCACTTCTTACTCCTCAATTTTCTTAATGTAATTACTATAACTATTGAGTTGTATGACTAATTTAACATTCACAAGACTACAAAACAAAACTAAACATGAACAAGTAATAGGTTTTAAAAAGTATGTAAATCAAGTATTTTTCAATAATATTTATATCTAATTCTTTTAAAATACATGAAAAATAGTAATAACAAATGCAATCATAAGTTAATAAATCTTCAAATATTAGAAGTTCTTCTTAACTTTATGACTTGAATCGAAATATGTTTGATAATTTATATTTTTAGACAAAAAAAAAATCAACAAATATTATGCAAATACAACAATGTATTTAACTAATAAAAAAAGTTAAAGGTTTAGTTATGTATTACCAATATTGACTATTAAGAAAGCTAGTAGAAGAGTTTTGAAATGTTTTTTTGTATTTTATAATATGTATATATTTAGTATTTAGTAATAATATATTTGGATATATAATTATATATAATATCAAAATATAAATATTATATATATCATTATATATATATAGGTAATTTAAATGTCGAACCTATATCGGGTTTGAACCTAATGAGATTCAAGCTCGACTCATATTTAATTCGGACCTATTTTTTAGATTCAAACTCAGACTAACTCACTAAAAGATCGAGTTCATCAAGCTCTTTCTCGAGCCGAATTCGGGCTGATCTGACCTTATTAACAGTCCTAAAGGGAATTGAACTATCACCGATGCAAATGAGTGCCTATGCACATGCTGACCAAATCTCCAAAAAAATTCAGGTCAAGAAATTTGATCATTTGATCTACACTCAAGTAGGGTTTTAAAACTTTTTTGATAGCCACTAGAGTTGTTGGTTCTTAACCCAATCTCCTACTCGTTCATTTCAATTTGCAAATTCATGAAATGAAAGTCCAAGCTTTTACTCTTCCTATTTCGTCATTTTTTTGTATAAACCAAGCATGTACACTTTAGGCCATGCCTTCAATTATTCGTCTCTCTTGTGGACGGCCATTTGATACCCTCGATCTCTTACAGATGGGATAATTTCACAAACCTCCCCTATGGTTTACAAAGATTACAGAGAGTACCCTCTAGATATAAAATATCAAATAAACCTCCCTTAAAAAATAGGTTGGGTTAACTTTGCTGATGTAAGCAAAATATCCTCATTGATAATCCTATATAGGCCTTAGGCAATTTTTCCCCTTATAAATAAAATTCTTGTGTAATTTTGAACTTGATATATTGCTACATACTTTAAGAAAATTATCTATGAAATTCATATCTCTTCCTTTAGATGAAAAAAACATTCACATGGTTGAACCAAAAAATATATTGTGTACCAATTGAGTAAGTAACCCCAATTTTGTAGGAATTTACAATTCTTTTCCAAATTAATGCAATATTATGTAATATTGGATTTAGGTGATTTGAGTGGTTAGAACAAGAAAGGATCTATCACTCTTGCTCTTCTTTATTTTCTCTCTCTCTCTCTCTCTCTCTCTCTCTTAACAATTTGTTAACTTTATTTTTAATATTGCATCACTTCATAGACGTGTTAATTTGAGTAAGTCATTAAGTTACTTTTGTCATCTTACATCATGAAGGGAGGTAGGTGTAATTTTTTAAACGTGGTGATACTATCCGCAATTGTCATATATCTCAGGGGAGATTTGTGAAATTATCCCCTTAAAGATTTATTGCTCGGTATTTTTTTTTATTTTTAACTTTGTATGAAAGATATATTCCTAAATCATCGACCACCACTTGCATTCTGACTAAATTTAGAAAGCTAAATCACCACATATGTTTCTTGAGTTTTAAGTAGGATTGTTTGAAAAATACAATGATTTTTACCAAATTATGCATATTTTCTTATACTATATAAGAATGAGTTTAAGGCAAAGATGTTCTTTGAATTTCAACCGCAAGGGTGTGGCTATTTTGGGAATATGGGAGTATTTGAAGTGCAATTAGAGCATTGAATACAAGTCATTATCGCTAATTTAGTTTTGTTGTAATTACTTAGATGTCCTTTTAGATATTTAAACCTATGGGCAAATTTGACACATGCCAGCGTTCAATGCCCAATTGAACATTGGGTACAACTAAATTCAACTTGTATTTTAGTGAAATTACATAAAAGCCCTTCTAATCATTTAATTGTATTAACATCAAAGTCTC